GACCTTCAGTATTTATTCATATACTAATTCTCTTTTTTAAAAGAACATCAGTAGGTTTGCTTATGAGCTCATTTATTCAAAAATTAAACCTTGGTTGAGCACCCATTGTATCCTAAGCTGACAGTCTTTCCATCTTGTTTTTCAAAGTTATATTGAACATTTTATTAGGAAAAGAAGCTGCTTTCCAAGCCCAGATAAAAATCTGAAAGTCTTGATAAGAAATAGGAGAGCCAGTAGGTAAAAGTGTCTTACTCTGTTGTATGTGTATCCACAAGAGAAATCGGTTTCACTGGGGTGTGTTTGGTTTGCTTTGCTTTAGCAGTTAAGTGAAAGTCGCTCAGTCATGTCCAGCTCTTTGTAACCCCATGGACTCTACAGTTTATGGAATTCTCCAGGCCAGAATACTAGAGTGGGTAGTATTCTACCCACTTCTCCAGGGGATCTTCCCAACCCAGGGATCAAACCCAGGTGTCCCACGTTGCAGGCAGATGCTTCACCAGCTGAGCCACAAGGGAAGCCCAAGAATACTGATAGAAGGGAATACTGATAGAAGAATACCCCAAGAAGGGATAGGTAGCCTGTGCCTTCTCCAGTGGATCTTCCCGACCCAGTAATTGAACCGGGGTCTCTTGCATTGCAGGTGGATTCGATTAAGCAGTGTTTTAATTTACTTTTTTCTCCCACACTGTAATTATTCTCCCTGTTGTAGATTGCTCCAGTATACCTTTGTGGGGGACATATTTATGGTTCCTGATGACCCTCTGGGAAGAAGTGGACCTCGATTAGAAGAATTTCTTCGGAAGGAAGTCTACCTTAGGTATTTATTTCCTTTTCCAGATTGTCTTGTATTTACAAATTTGTTTCAGTTCTTTGTGCTTCAAGTGCAAGTACACTCTCTCCCTGACTATTATAAATGGTATTTTATTTTAAAAAATAGCCTTAGATTTAGTGCTGGTGAAATATAGATGGAATGTCTCCCAGAGACCAGATCTTCATTTGTGGTCCATTTGGTTTTAATCCCAGAAGAGAGGATGGGGAGCCAGACTTTCTGTAGGCCAAAGAAGACAGAGTAGATTTTGCTAGTGGTCGCTTAGTAGTGAATGCTAGTTAGGTTCTTTGTGTGTGTGTGTGTGAGTATCTTTTTAAGTTCATTTTGCCAAGTCATTTACTTTGAGTATTTTATGCTTATATGAATTTATTTACTATTCAGGAAATCACTACCTGGGAAACTGTACTATCTACCTTACTGAGTAGAGAAGCAAGTATTCTATATTCGTCTGAAATTAATTTGATAGCTTAGATTTTCTTTGTTGTAGACTGGGGTTTTTGTTTGTTTGTGTTTAAAGACGTGTTTCCATTTTCAGAATTCTCAAGTATGGATGTTGTTAGTCCTGTGCACCTAAGTGGCAGATTGTATTCCCCAGTGATAGGCCTTCTCTCTTTTTAAAAAGTGAAACAAGCTACATTTCTTTGTATTTCTCAGCTGAAAGGGGTGTAAGCTGAAAGGAATGAGACAGCTCCCCCCCCCCCCCCCACCCCGTTTCAAGACAGTGAGACTTTAGAGCTGATGCTCTCTGTTTATGTCAGGGCCTTTGGGGGATTCTGGGTTTGGATTGGAAAGGGCAGGTGGCTCACATAGAACTGTCTTCAGCACACAAGACCAGCATGATTTCCACTCCCAGGTCTTGTGACTCATTTCTCTTTTGAGCCTTTGTGTTTTATTACACAGATGAGGACTCAGTTCTCAAAGGTCCTGCTTTTCTACCTACCTGTGCCAAGAGAATGGTAGCAATTTTAAATACCTGCTGAATGGCCATACATCTTATTTTTCTTCCAAAGTCTTAACTTGGAAATTCTCTGCTAGGCTTTAAGACCTGAGGCCTGTGTGCAAGCATCAAGGTCCATGGGTCAAACTTAACGGAAGGAGAGTTCTGTCTCCTCCAGCCTCAGCAGCCTGGCAGCAGGGTCAGCCCTGCCTGCTCACGTAAGAGCCATTGACTACAGAGTTAGTCATTGCACTGCCCACGGAGGGACTAAGCTTTTGAAGTTGGGAAAAGTGTTCAGTCAGCCCCATTTTTCTACTGCAAGGAGAATCAAGTGGGGGGCTTTTTAATGGTAGAGATGCCCTAAACACACTCATGTGCATTCAAGTTGTGGGCACCAACATCTCACTCAGACTTGAGGGGCTGGAGAGGCAGCCTCTCTGCCCAAAGGTCCCCATCAGCCTGGCCCCACAGAGAATCTGAATCTGCAAGAAAGTATGGTCCTGTGTCCAGATCTTTTGAAAGCTTCCTGGTGCACCCTGGTTCAGAGCCAAGCAGCTGGATGGGGTCAGTCCTCACAGCAGCAGGCCAGGAGGTGGAGTGGCTCATGAAGAGCCAGCATTTCCTGTCACGACTGGGCTGGAGTTGGTGTCAGTGGCATCCCCACGGGCCTGTCTGTGGGTGGTTGCCCTCCCTGCTATGGCTGCAGTCTTCTCTTGCCTTCAAAGGCCAGGAAGCAGCTCCCAGCATCTTAAGCTTTGGAGTCAGCAGCAGATATTTTTAGACAGATTTCTTGTTTGTCTTGTAACCTAGCTCACCAGGACTTGCTTCCATTCACAGAGATATGCAGCCCCTACTCAACGCCTTGCCAAATGTGGGCATGTTTGACCCCAACTTCAGAGTCCCTGGTGCCCAGGCAGCCAGCACCAGCCACCAGCCTCCGACCCGGATTCAGGGCACCCCACCCAGCCACTGGCTTCCTCAGCAACCCCGCTTCCCACTTTTGCCCAACCTTCCCAACATCCAGCAGAATCTGCCCATGCCAGCACAGAGATCTCCTGCAGAAACCAACGAGCTGAGGGAAGCCCTTCTGAAGATCTTCCCTGACTCGGAACAAAAACTGAAAATCGACCAGATCTTAGCGGCTCATCCGTACATGAAAGACCTGAACGCACTCTCCGCCATGGTATTGGACTGAAGGCTGTTGGGAGCTGGGTCTCTGGGCTGAAGACACACACACTCAAGCTAGTATCTGCATGTGGCAGCAGGAAGTGACATAATGTGAAGAAACCAATTTCCCAGTGGAAATGCTGTTGTAGTGTATAGGAGAAAAAAAACACAGATGTTTTGTGTATAAAAAAAATCTGGGTTTTCAAAACCAGCTTTTTTATATATATACATTATGCTGCTATTACAGATTTAACATTTTCTGTAAAAGGAAAGTCTACATTTTCTGCCTGTTCAGAACTGTTTAATAGCAGTTACTCTTGAGTGCACTTACATTTTTATGTTTTTTAAACTATTTTCCTTAATGCTGAAAATATTGACAAATGGATATGATTAGCCTTTCTAAATAAAAAAAAAAAAAGAGTTGCTTTCTTAGGGAAAGCAAGACCTCTTAAAGTATATTTTCTTGAGATGACTATGTCACGTCCACTGACATGAAGTGTGCTCACCCTCCCAGCCTCCTGTCCCCTCACCCCTGGAATTAGAGTCCGTAGGAGTTAATTTTGCTCCTCTGGGGTCTTTCATTGGAGCCATTTGTGAGAGTGGGCAAGTGGTGCCACTAGATGGCACCTTGTGCCTAGCCATTGTTAATGACCGGGGGCCGAGTGAGACGCACAGAACGCCCGGCTGGAAGAGCCCCGAGAGCCCGCGCAGGCCAGCCCTCCCTCCCTCCCCACCTGCACAAGAGGGGCTGAGGCCCCGGGTGCCCCTGTCTGGGCGCGCCCAAGTCCACAGCTGTGAACCGGACCCCTCGCGCATGGCTGGGACACTCACCACTCAGTCTCTTACTGACTCTAGACGTCATGTCTTGGCTTCTGAAGCTACTAGAGGGATGTGAGGAAGTTTAGTGAAGAGCGTCATCATTATAGGAGTTTGGTGTCCACAACCTTGGGAGACAGACGTCCCATGTGAAGTTTGTGCAGCTTTGCCAAAAAACTGGTTTTCTATTCTCAAGAATGACCCAAGCCAATAAATAGCATTAGTAGCTTCTGTGGGGGCCCAGAGCCCCATATTTATTTTTCCTGTGTTAGTCTCCTTAGTGTTCTCCTAAGCTGCCCTTCCTATGGGTCTTTCTCAGAATTGATATCTTAGTATTGTGTTTTCAGTGTTGCCAAAATTCTGTGTCAGTGAAAATCCTTTTTCTGGATAATTAATTGTTAACATCTATCTTGTTCTCTGGACCTTCAAAGGGCTTTGTATTTTATACTTGTTCTTCCCCCAGGCTGCTCACGATCAGTTTCACGTCTGCCTTGTAGATCACATCTCTTGTGGCCCCCAGAAAAAATTGCAGAGGCCTCAGTGCAGACTTGTTCTCCATGATGAAGAGACTTGGTTGGCCGTGAGCAGACCTGGGTGGCTCCCCAGTGCTCCCTCCAGGCCTGTGTGATCCTGCACCCCTCCGGGGGTGAGTCCAGAGTCTTCAGGTGGCCAAATTCGGGCTTCAGTCTTGTTTTCTCTTGGATGCCTTTAAGATGCAGCCTGATGTGGAGCTGGTTGTCAGCTGGGGGTGGGATACCCACGTCCAGCTGTGCATGTGGAGGCCAGAGGCAGCTTCGGCCACAGCCTTTGTGCCTCAGCTTCACAGCTGGTGGTTTTTAAAAACAGCAGCAGAGGTGTGAGGGCTGGGTCCCTCTCACATGACTTTACCTTCCAGGCCAAGTGGCCTTGCCAGTCCAGCACTGCTCCTGTTCAGAGAAGGACTCAGGGGGTATGCCTTGATTGCCAGGACTTAGCCACTGGTCTTCGTGGAAGAGGGGCTGAGGCTCCACTGATGCTAGGTAGAGCTGGCTCAGCCTAGAGGTCAGGAGTTTTCTAGGCTCTAGAAGTGACCTGACCTTTGAATTACATAAGCCTCTGTGATCTCAGTATTGTCTCTGAGAGCTCTACCAGCCCCTTTCCTCTTTCTTGGGTGAAGGAAGGAAGAGTGCAGAAGATAAGTAGGAGGAGTTTCAGAAAAGCATCACTTACCTTGGTAAATTATAACATGAAACAGAATTCACAACTGAAATCTATCGTGTAGTTAAATCTAATATTTTAAAGTTCAATTCTCAAACCATTACTTTAAGAAGTCATTGTTCTCAGACTCCCCTTGATACTCGGCTCAGTGTTGATACTCCCAGTGTGCCTTCCCGGTAGGTTTTCTGAACCACCTTGGGGAGTGTCTGCAGCAGCGTTTCCTGAAACTCCTGCAGGTGGTTCTGCATCCTGTGTTCCACGGCATTCCTGTGAAGCAGGTGGCAGGGCAGAGGACGCCACCCTCTTTCGGTAGACTCGGAGAAGTTGTCCGGGGTTAAAGAATAAGTAGGCAGTGATGCCGAATGATCCCTGGGCCTGCATTCTTCCCCATGCTCCAGACTGCCACCTGGGAGAAGAAAGACTGGTTTAGTCTTTCTGTCAGGTAGCCAGTGTTTGAGACGCTATAGGCTGGCAGCTAGAAAAATAGTAAGAAGTCCTCTCAGCCATCCTGGATGAAGGGTCAGCATTATTCTGGCAGGGCGTGACTGTCACCAGGGACTCAGTTGACCTGTTGTAGCTTTGGTATCAGTGAGAGGAAGGATAATCTTGCTTTATTGCTTAGGCTTATTGTGGCATTTGTGGAATATGATCCGCACATAGAAACCTTGATGCTCTGAACCCGCTGCCCCATGGAGTCTCATGCCCTTCCCCCCACCATGGCAAATGGCACCGGGCCCCCTGGAGTTGGGCCTTGGCACCACTCCCACCTCAGGCCCAGCCTGCCTCCCACACATCTCTGAGATGCAGCCTTCCTTAAGGAATCTCTCCCCACCTCTGCCTCCCCAGCAGCCCTTCTACGTCCCCACCTGTCCTCCCTGCCATCCCGCCTCCCTCAGCCCACCTCCTCTCATCTCCCAACAGTAGTTTGTTTGGTTAGTTACTCTGACTCACTCCATTTCTTCGTTATCTACCTCTCTCATTATTCCCCACATATTTCAGATCCTGAGATTAAAACAACCTGATTTCCCTAAGGATCTCTGTTCATTCCTACTTTCCTTCCCCTTCCCACTTTTCACTTCTGTGTCTGCAAACTTGGCCTCCACCCGTCACGTGGGATTAATCGAGGGAAGCCATTGGAGACCACTCAGTTTCCAAATTCGGAAACCTTTTCCCAATCCTGTATCTCCATGTCCACATTCAGTAACTATAGCATGACATCGTTGACCCTTACTTTCCCTATTTTCTGAGATTTCCCTCACTCCTAAACAGTCTTCATTCCTTTTCCTTCTTTTACCTAAAGGCCAGTTCAACAGAAAGACCAGCTCAACAGGTGGTTTCCAAACTTCGGACCAGCTGTGGGACGCATGATGGGGAGGGCAGTTCTTAATAAAAATGCAGATGACTGGGCACTGCCCCCAGAGAGGTTTATTTAGTAGCTCTGGCGTAAAGTCTGGAAATCTGCCATTCCAGCAGACTCCCTGGATGGTTCCCACACAGGTGGTCCATGGACCACATTTTGAGAAGCACTCACCCTTAGAGATCAGCACACTTCCTTGACTCGAACCGCCCCCTCTTTGCTGGAGTGACTCCCAGCTCCAGCCCTGCCCCTTATGAGTGCATATTTAGCTCTACCTAGAAGCCCTGAGACCTCCCCAGACCCTCTGTCTGCATCTCTTGTCTTTTCCCACCCACCCTGCCACAAGGTCCCCTCACCCACCACTGTCCCTTTTTGGCCATTGCCCCCGCCCCGCATCTTGTGCTCATGGCCTCCCTGTGGCTGTCAGCCTCTTACCTGTCAGCCCACCTCTCAGCTTTCCCCCCTCACTACCCTTCTGAGCCTGCACAGCTGCTAGATTTATCTTCTGAAGATACACTTCTGCACACCCCTCATGTTCAGTGCCCAGTGGCTCTCAACCAGAGTATCCAGTTTAGACCTTCCTGAGCTTAGTATCCTTGGCTGTCTGCCTCCCAGTCGTACGTGGCGGCCCACTCTGTGCAGCCCATCTGCCCACTCACTGCAGCCGCACAATTTCCTCAGTTAGCTGTGGGCTCCCACTCCGACTGACTCTCTGCTCTGCTAGAAATGCCCTTTCTCCCAGATGGCTTCCCCTCAGAGGCCCGGCCCTGTGTCCTCTCCACCTTGCCTAAAGCTTCCGACCAGAAGCAGCCTCATGGTCTTCTCTGACCCCCACAGCACTTGTGTCTTGCTTTTGGCACTTGCCACTCTGGCTGGTGTCACTGCAGCTGATTGTGTACTCTGTCTTACCTCTTTTTCTAGACTGTGAGCTCCTCGTGGGCAGGGCTTTCTGTGTTCACTCTCTGTATTTCCCACAGCACCTAGCACAGTGCCTTGCACTTAATAGGTGCTCAATAAAGTCTGCTCAATTGAACTGGAGGATGGTGCCTTCTTGACAGCGGCATCTAGCAGCCAGAAAGGCCTTCAAGTATCAGGTGCTCGGCAGTTGCTCCCTGGAACCCACTACTCTCCATTTTTCCTTCTTGTCAAGTCTCTAACCCCACCAGGTCCAGGAATGGGCACCTGCCGCTGGCTGACCCAAGCAGTGTGTTCTGACTTGCTGCCCACAAGGGGGCTGATCTAGGCCAGTCAGAGTACACCTTGTGGTTGCCCCCTCTGGTGGTGGGGGCCACGACGGGTCATGCTCAGATCTGACGGAGGCTGTGTTCTGCCCTGGGTGGGAGGGGGCGTGGAGAGAAGCGGAAGCTTGACGATGTGATTCCTGTTGTCATGGAAACCCGATGGCACTCACGCTCTTCCCCAGATGCCCGTTACCCCGACACACTTCACTTTTTCTTTATGTTGGGTTTACATCCCTTGAAATCAAAGACTCTTAAGTGAAATACATATCACTGCCCTTACACTTGGCAGATTAAACAAGGGAGGCTCATCACATCTTTAGGGAGATCCCGAAGACCAGTGCTCCCCAGGTGGCTCAGAGGTAAAGAATCCGCCTGCCAAGCAGGAGACCCGGGTTTGATCCCGGGTTGGGAAGATACCCTGGAGTAGGAAATGGCCAGCCACTCCAGTATTCTTGCCTGGAAAATTCCATGGGGGTCACAAAGGGTCAGACACAACTGAGCGACTGACCACACACACACAGACCAGTGCATCTGTGCTGCAGGAGTGTCCCCCTAGTCAGTTTTTAAGGAGCCTCAGGAGACTCCACCCCCACCTTCACACAGGCCGGTTCCTCCCCAGCACAGCCGGCCTCTTGAGGTTGTGTCTTACAAATGCCTTCATGTGGATTTCCTTGCTCTGTTCCCTAGCTGGACAGAGGCCAGGCCAGCTTCTTGGGAGTTAGACCTGCCATATTCTGCCACATCCTCACTGGTAAGACAGCCGTAATGGGGTCAGCCTTGCTAATCCAGGGCTGTCATGAGGAAGAAACGGGCCTAGAGCACTGCCTGGCAGAACGTGCTCGGTGATGGTCATGACCAGCTCTGCCCCGCAGCCCAGCAGACACTTAATGAAACTGTTCACACCCTGTAGGTCATCCCGGAGGCGGAGACCTTGTCTTCCGGATGCTGAATGTTCTCTCTTCCTGCCAACTCACCCTGAGTGTGGTCCAGACCCTCCTCAAGGCCGCAGAGAGGTCCTGCTGTCCCCCAGGCAGGATGTCACTCTTCTGACACGCTCCGTGCCCTTGAAAGCCAGTCGGGGTCATGGCAGGGAGGGAACCAGGGGGACTCCAACAGAGCCACTGCTTGGCCACAGAGTGAGGGAACGCTGCTCCCCTGGCCGACACGGCCCCTCCAGGCTGGGTCTTGACTCATCCGCTCCTCCTGCCGCTCCTTTGACGTCTCCATCTTGGAGGCTCGTGTGTGTGTGTGTGTGTGTGTGTGTGTGCGCGCGTGCAGGATGCAGGACTTGAATTCCTGCAGGCCATTTCACCTCCCCAAGAGGCAGACTCCGCCAAGGTGACCTGGCAGCCAGAATGGCACCAGAGATGGACCGACTCCCTCCATCCAGTGAGCAGAATGGAGGGCTTGTGACCTGGGTCGAGGTGGTCAGCCCGCTGGCCAGAGGGAGGCTGTGGAAGGAAGCCGCCTCCCACGTTTCTGAGGAGTGGGGCCCGTGTCCAGCCCAGTTCCTGTGGGAGGTGCTGGGAGCACATTGTTGTTTTTTGTTTGTTTTTTTTTTAAGTTGACCAGCTCTGTAGAAGTGCCGTCTGGAGGACGCCTCTGTGTGCGTCATACCCTTCTTTCCTTTACGGGGACTCAGAGCAGAATGACCTTTGAGAGTTTTTGAAACTGAAAGCAGCGTCTTTTACAGCTCGGGTTCCAGTCTCGTGTCATATGTGGTTCCAGGGCTGGTGACAGTCATCGGGGAAGCAGAGCCTGGGCAGGCAGGGGTTTGCCCAGGAACTGGTCATCAGCGTGCAGAGTGAGCCCTGGAGCTGCAGCGCCCGAGCCCCGGGGCTTCTGGAATCCGCCCCCTGCCACCTCCTCCCACAAGACTCCGCACCGCAGACGGTGGCCTTTGGGGCTTTCCTTCCCACTCCCTCCACAGGTCCCCAGGGAGCCCAACTTGGCCTCACAGCCTGAAACCCAGTCTGGGGTCAGGCCTGGGCAGGCCCTGCCCTCTCCCCTTGCGGCTCCCAGAGAGAGGAGGAGGGGGCCTCCCCTGAAAAGAATGCGCTTGTCTGCCCGCCTGTCTGGCTCCGGGATCAGTCTAGGGTTTCAGCCACCAAAACAGGCTGCAGGAACAAGAGGCCCTCCTGCAGCTGGCCCAGAGAAGCTGCGGACACTGGCTCACACGACCTCCTGGACCAGAGGGTCCCTCGACGGCGACAGCAGTTCCCACCCCCACCCCCTTGCAGCCCATTCCCACTGAGGTGGTCAGGACCCTGGTGCTTACTCCCATTTTAAGGCTAAGGAGCCTGAGGCCCAATAGTAAGTAGTGGAGGTAGGGCTGGAGCCCCAGCACCCAATCCTCTGTGCTCTGCTTGCCAGCCCCTCTCCCCTGTCCCCCAGCTGTCCCGAGCAGCCGCTGCGTGCCTGGGACAGTGCTGGGAGAGGGGAGAAGGCCAGAAGGGCCCTTTCCAAAGCACCCCGTGCTCCCGCAGCCCTGGCAGTGAAGGTGTGGGCCCTGCTCTGGCCCTTCTTGCTGTGTGATCTAGAGGAAGTTGCTCACTCTCTCAGATGAGGCCAGCCCCCTCATCTCTGAGTGAAAGTGAAGGTGCCACCCTCAGAAAGGGTGGTTTTCAATCCTGATGTGCATCAGAGCCACCTGGAGGAAGGGCTCTAAATATGCTGGCGCCCAGGCCTCACCCCAGACTGGGGAGATGGGTGAACGGAAGCCCAGGGATCCCGGTGAGCCCCTGACTGAGAACCGACATCCCCTGGAGAGTTGGTCCCACTGGGATGAAATCCCAAGACAAGGGCCTGGCCCCTGACAGTCCTTCCCTTCCCTTTCCTGACACCCACCTTCCGTCCCGCATGTGGCTCCAGTAAGGGCTTGTCTTCCATGTCTCATCCAACTTGCGGTATTTTACAAACCCTCGGCCCTGCAGAGACTCAGAGCAGGAGGAGAGCAGGGGTGGGAGGATGGGGCCCTCCCTCCTGTGACCAGTGGCCGGAGCTGGCTTGGTCATTCCACCACCAGCCAGCCGTGTGTCCTCGCTTCCCAGCTCTACTTACACCTGGGTACAGTTTTGAACAAGGACAGAGGGAGTGGAGCTCCTGCTGACCTAGCACGTCAGCCTCTTTCCCACCAAGCAAGGGCCTTCCTGCCACCCGTTACCCACCCTGTAGACCCCCTGTCACTGCTCCATGCGGGCTCACAGGGCCCGGGAGCCCAGCGGGTCAGTGCAGACCTTGAAGACAAGAAGAGTCTGCCACATGAAGACCTCCTATTTCAACAGGCAGAGGCCAGCAGGCTTGGGCTCCAGCAGCCCCCAGCCCTTGGGTGAAGCACGCCCTCGTCTCGATCTCATCTGCTGCCTGCCTGGGAGAGGCGGTGTCTTCCCTCAGAGTGTTTCTAATCGTCTGACACCTGCAGCTTTCTTGGCCCAGAGCCTGAACATGAGCCTTGGGAATCAGCCTGAGCGTCTCTCTCAGAGGGAGGTTGTGCTGCGTGGGGACAGTGGAAGGTGACTGGCTGATGGCGCAAGCCCACTGGTGGGTAGAGGCCCTCGTCCACCACAGCGCCGGTGGCATCAGGGCTTCCTGCCTCAGAGGTCCCAGCACCCAGCTCGAAGCCGTCTGCCGCTGCCACCTGAGAATTACTGTCAGAATTACTGTCCCAGCTTCACCCACCTTTGGGGCCTCCATGTCCGCCATCACTGTCAAGGCGACTCCCAGGAAAGTCTGAGGCCTGGAGTTGAGAGCCCTCCCAACAGGACGTGACTTGACGACCTGAGCCTCGACCCTCTCCCTTCCCCACGGCCCCGTCCAGACTGAACCCAGGCCCCACTTGTCTGGTCTTTCCAGGTGTCCTTCACAGTCCCACCCACAGCTATTCACCCTCCTCCTACTTGGGAGGGTCTCTACAGCTGCCCGGGGGGGCAGGCAAGAATGATTCCCCTGCCCTACAGACGTGCAAACGGAGGCAGGGCTGTTCTGAGGCGAGACCCGCAGGGCCAAGACTTGAACCTTGTGTCCATACTCCTGTGAATGACTGTCCAGTGAATGACTCCGGAAGCCACAGCGGGGCGTCCATGCATCCACGCACTGATGTCAGTCTCTAATCCCTTCTGAGTATGACTCTTCTGCTGGGACAGGCAGTGGTAGGGGACTGACCGCCTACCTGGGCGAGGAGGCCAGAGACAGAAGTGTGAGTGCAGCCTGGTGGAGGGGGTGGGGCTGTGGATGGAGCGCGCTTGGGGCAGAGGAACAGCAGCTGGAGAGGAAAGCCATAGGGGAGAATGGAGACGTCAGGGAAGCGAGCTTGCTTCCTCCTAAGGGATGTTCTGCCTTCTTATTTCTCTGAATTGGGGGCCAGCTGGGGTACACGGTCCATGCTTCGGAAAAGCCTTTCCCAAGCCTGGTCCCGTGCCTTGCAGACAGCTGTTGCTCCAAGAGCTCTTGGAACGGAAAGGCGGCCTAAGTTTCTGGCTAAGCCAGCTCTGCTGCACTGGGAAGAGGGGGTGACGGGATGGGCTCCACCCAAGGAATCCCCGCTGGGCTCCCAGGGTGTCTCCTGGGAGCCCCACCTGTTAGCAGCATGTGGTGGCCTTTCACCAAATGGTCACGCCCAGATCTTCCCCAAGACGGCTGGGCAGCAACACCTCGGGCCCTCCGTTCATCGCTTCCCTGAAGAGCCGGGACCGAGGGGTGTTCTGTCCAGTCGCCTGTGACTGCAGAGTTGCAGGGCCTTCCCTGGTATAAGAAAGGCACTTTGGCTGCTCTCTGGGAAAAGGGCAAGTTGGCTTTTCTAGGGGCAGAGATTCATTCCTAATCACGACACTGTATAACCTAACTCCTGCACACCTCAGTTTTGGCTATCCCCGTTTTGCAAGATGATGCCTGCTGTCTGCCTTATATTAATCAAAACAGACTTAATTCCTTTGTCCTTTTTTTAAACTTTTTTGTTTTAACCAAATTCATTTGTTTATTAAGTTATTGGGCTTTTATTATGTGCCAAGCAGCATGTTTTGCTAAGTTCAATATAATTCATGAGAGAATTAGAAGCTCAAGAAAGAGATCACTCTA